TACTTATATATTAATAGTAACTTATATTATATAGCCTATAATAACCTGATTATACTATTTAGAATAATATTTTAATTAGTTTAATCCTAACTTACTCTAGATTAGGTCTAGTATAAGTTACCTAACTATTATAACTATAGCTTATATATAAAGAAAAATATAAAAAATAGAGTTAAAAATTAGATATAGATTAAAAATAAGTAAAAAACTAGTTATATAGATCTAGTTATATATAGCCTAATCTTAGAATATCTCTTATATATAGTAAAAACCTCTAAAAAAAAAAATAGTTTAATCTTAGAATATTCTTTATATATAATAAAAAACTCTAAAAAAAAAAAAAATAAATTAATAATTATATATAATAAAACTTTATATATAATTAATTATATATTATATTTAATTTTAAAATAATTTTATTTATAATTAAAAAAAAAAATAGATTTATTATATAATTAAGAAGAAAGAGAGAGAGAATATATAATAATAAAGGCCTTAATTATAACCTATAAGTTCAGGTATAAAGCTACTGGTATGAAAGTTTGATTATATTAGTTAACCAATAGACGCCTACTAAACTTAGACCGCGTCGGCTTCGCGCTGTGCTGAGCTTACTCTGTTTTTGTTTGTATGTTGACCGTGTCGGTCAAAGCTCTCTCCTTGCATATTGGATCAAATGGTACGGTCGAAGTGGCATAGGAAGCTCGTTTCTTCTGCATGATCACTGTAGCCTCACACCATTCTAATGGCCTTCGACCATTGAATCAATCATCACTAGCTAAGCCAGCCAATTCACTGCGGCCTTGCATTGCCTATTTAAGAGCTTCCGAGCCTTGAATCAGGCGTCTCTTCATCTTCAACGTTATCTTCTCGCAAACGCTGCAGAATCTCAACAGCTGATTCCCCTTCCGATTTCGTCTCCTAGCAGAATTGTTGACATCCTTGACGGTACCAGCACCAGCCATGTCGGAATATTTTCAGCAGCAGTCGAATGCTAAAATTCACTATGGCGACGTGGATCTGGATGAGAGAATCATTGACAGTGAGCCACCCATTACTCCCTTTAGAACGCCATACCTACAAAATATGGACTTAGAGCTCCCTAATGGTGCTGTTATCAAGAGTTGCCGCGGCCACGGGGCAAGTAATTGGAACCGGACCGCTCGTCTCGATTTCGAAATAGATGGTCAGCTTCATTCGTATTTTCTCAAGGTACGTATCACAACCGAAATTTCCGTACATGAATCTGTCTGTCTAAAATATCGTAGATCTTGACTGGTCCTAAAGGACTCCCCATGGTACATGGGGAATATGAATCTATGCGACTTATACATGAGTCCATCCCCAATTTTTCGCCAAAGCCTCTGGCCTGGGGCTCGTGCGCCGACCCGACCCATCACTTCATACTGTTTACATTCCATGAACTCTCGCAAGGACTACCGCCCATACCTCAGTTCGTGAATGCCGTGGCCCAGCTTCACACAGTTAAGCGGAACCCAAATGGCAAGTTTGGTTTCCACATCACCACATACAACGGGACCCTTGCGCAAGATAATGCTTGGTGTGACACGTGGGAAGAGTTCTATGTGAAGGGGATGGAGAGAATTCTGGAGTTGGAGGAGGAGGCCCGAGGGCTAAACAGTGAATTGCGAAAGATATCGGCTCCCTTTCTGTCCAAGGTGATTCCTAGGCTTCTTCGACCACTCGAGACTCAAGGGAGGAAAATTGACCCGGTACTTATACACGGAGACCTTTGGATTGGAAATGTTTCGGTACAGGCAGGAAGCTGTGATCCTCTGATGTTCGATGCGTCTGCATTCTGGGGCCACAATGAATGTGAGAGGCTGTACCTCAATCTATGTTTGAAGTATATAACCAACTTGAGAGACATTAGATGAGCTGAGCACCATGCGACCACTGAACAATGAATGGGCTGGAGAATGTATGGAGAGTTATCATGCGCTTATCCCAAAATCGGAGCCAATCGAAGACTGGGATGCTCGTAATTCGCTCTACGCAATGTAAGAAGGCTATCTCATGCCAATCTTCATGCGAAGCTTCTTTGGGGCTGATACTAATTTGATACAGCCGTACTTATGCGCATGATTCTGCGCTCTACCCAGATGAGCCTAAGTTTAGGAAAAAGTAAGTTGGGGTTTACCTAATGGGGGTCGATGATAGCAATATAATACTAACGACTTCATTGCAGACTGATGGAAGAAATGCAAAACCTTGTTGCCCAATTTGCCGAGGATCACAACGAAGCCAGGGGTTGAATTAGGCATACCCTTTCTACGTCAGAGCTAAGACGAGTGGTGGATGTTGGTATGATCTTATAAGAAGTGCTTTTGAAACCCCAGAGTCGACTTGTATTCCATTAATTTTCTTTTTCTGTTGTAATTTCGTAGAAATCATGTAATACCGGATCAGCCGACGCCTCAAGTGCATCGGCGATGACAAAAACTCTATGATACATCGATTGAAGGGCTGTAAAGGACTCTTGGAGTGAAGTTTATGCTCGCGTATTCTCGAACTTATCGTAGAGTGCTTCCATCGCCTCTGAAAGAGACGTCTGCCATTAAATGAGGTGCTTCAGAGGACTTGTTAATTATATTCTGCTCTCTACTCGTTGTAGTGCTGGGGGTTGAAGTAGATGTACGCAATACCGATGCCCCCAACACTCAGCCCATCTCATGCATTTAATAATGCTGTGATATAGTCTTCAATTAGGACAACTGATTTTCAACTATATCAGGGATTCGTAATGGCGATTATACCTTTATGCAAAGGTCTGGGTCTGGTTGTTAAGATAGATGCATAGTGCAAAGATTCAATGTTGACTTGCCACAACAAATCCAATTGAGTCAGGCACATGGCGAAGAGGTAGGAATATGAGCCATGCAAAGGGTTTCAATATACGCCTACTTGTTAATCTGATTGTTGGAAAACACGCATTATACCTTAATTCTGACGTCGAAGATAATCCTGATGGGGATCTAGATCGTTCTGCACCCACTCACGCAGAACGTTATCGAACCCAGGATGCGCGCTAACAAGATATTTTTCCTCTCTCAAGCCTTGAACAAGCAATTTCGCTACGACTCCAGCTGGGCGACTGATTTTTGTAAAGAACTTTTTGAAATTCTCATGCCATTCGTCCGAGGCGTTTCCGGAGATGTTGAGAACTGACTCGGTATAGGTAACATCAGGAATTACGAGACTGACTCCCACACCGTTCAACTTGAGCGACTTAGCCATGCACTGAGTCAAAGCGGCCTCAGCTCCCTTCGTGATACAATAACCCAGCATGCCCTCGGCCACAGGTTGTGGCGGAACAAAGGCATTTGGTGATGCCGTGTTGGCGATCCAGCCGGTCCCTCGGCCAATCATGGCGGGCAAGAAATTCTGTGCAATCCTTATATACCCCAAGACGTTGACATCAAACTCGCGTCGTAGAATGTCGAGATCGATGTTGAGAATTCCACCTGTCCGGAAGAAGACGGCGTTATTGTAGAGGACGTCGGGAACTCCGATGTTGTCTAGGACGGAGGCGGCAAATTTGGATACGGAATCATCATTGGAAACGTCGCAGTAGTATGAAAAAGCCTGGCCGCCCTTTGCCTCGATATCGGAGACGATAACTTCCTGAGTCTCAGTTTGAATATCAGCCATGACGATGATAGCACCGGCTGCGGCGAACTCAAGAGCGACTGCTCGACCAATGCCACCTGCGGCCCCAGTGACAACTATGATCTTGTTTTCAAAGTCAAGCATGATAAGATAGATATAAGACCGTATGGATACAAGTATGGAGAAGATCTATGAACTTCAATATATTCATTCTGGATTTTATACTCTATTTGATAAATTCTCAGCTCTATCGGGCTGGCACTTTGTTCCTATTATTCAACATGGTGAGTGTAGCATCACACCCTTGTCTCGGCGATTTTGTGTCTCTCGTGTTTTGGTCTAAGGAACTACGAAATAAGTAAGCCTGCCGCGCATCCGAGGACGTGGATATCTGAGTGGACAGAAAAGTGGCTCTTCGGATAAATAGTTACACTCTCTCGGATTAATGTTTTGATATGGCCTGCACTTACGCGTAACAAATGTCGGAACATACATCCCCTTGCAACTCCGTCTTTGAACCCTTCCGCCCTTTGCTCCATCACTGAGTCACTGAAGACATGATGCCAACACTACAACGTCCTTCTAGGCCATGTAAGGAGTGCCAGCGGCGAAAGCTCCGCTGCGATGCACAACAACCCAAATGTGGTTTGTGTCAGAGGGCCCGTGTTCCATGCGAGGCGTCTCCAGCGGGAAAACGAGGCCCCAAACGAGGCCATCTGAATGCCCTACGCAATCGTCTTATGCAGCTTGAGGAAACATTGCAGAACCGACTTGACTCCGAGCAACGTCCGCAGGAGCATGTGCAGGGGTTGCACCATAGCCTTGACTCGACAGATGCGTCACAATCAGCCGACTTCCTGAGAGGCGATGTTGGCTATGGTGATCCTTTGGCTCAAGCCTTCATGTTATCTGAGCCTTCAATGGCTGGTGATTTTGATAACTTGGGTCTGGAACGATTTCGTTTTCCTGATCTAGCAGTATCGCTTCCTCAGATCGACCGTGGTACCCACGCCGAACTGTAAGAAGATACGCTTTTCTGATAATGGAACTTGACCACACAGCAACTCATACCACTTCTTAGAGACCAGCTGTACTTCGACCGAGTTCACCCGTCTTTCCCCATTATCCATAAACGACGTTATCTAGGATGGTCTAAGTCAACTGCCAAGTCTCGTTCCCAGGCTTGTTTGCAGAAAGTTATGTGGATCCTCGCTGTTTTGTTATCTACACAAACGCGTGACTTAATTAATCCTTTATACAGCCAAGTCAGACAGGATATTGACCTCATAATAATGGATACTAGCCCATGCCAGTTGGAACTCGTTCAAGCTTGGACACTTCTGACCGTCTGTGAGCTGATGCGTGCCATGTATGGACAGGCTTGGGCGAGCGCAGGACGAATGTTCCGGCTACTTCAGGGATTACGCTATCATGAGATTGACAGTCCAAGGGAGGACCCTGTAGCATCAGAGGGAATGATTGACCCTATTCGAACAGAGGAGAAACGCCGCGTATTCTGGATGGCCTTTTTGATTGACCATCTGCTCAGCATCCGAAATCGTTGGCCAGTCACACTGAGCGAACACATGGCAAGATCCCCCCAAAGCTGTATACATGAGCAACTTCAAGGCTGATCATTCAACTCCACCAGATATGCACACGGTTGCCAATTTCCGATCATGCTTTCCAGGCTGCTAAGCTCGATCCGAGTGTTTTCTTATCTCAAGCCGTAACCGAACCGCCCTCACCAGATACTTGCTCATTCAACGAGTGCATCATCATCGCGACAGTCAGCGGCCGTGGGCTGCTACGTGATGTTCACGGCACCATTTCTGAAGCGTATGGTGGCTCTAGGCAGATCCATATTGACCACGATGAGTGGCTGAACCTTGTTCTTGCGACGCGAAACAAGGCCCTACGTCAAAGAGACGATCCTGATCGTTTGGCGACGTTTACTCAAATCCTTGGGCAGGTGACTGAGATTTTGTTTTGTAAAAGCCTGATGACAATGAACAAAAGCACTTCGAATGAAAATTGCACGCAAGAATATCGGTGTCGGGCTCTGAGGGCAGCGGAGAAGATTGTGCTCTTTGCCACAGACCTCACAGCATTGCACTTCTCCATGGTAAGTCTCAACAAATATTCGCCACTCTTCTCAACTTCCTCTCCATTCATGGTCTAACGATGCATCCCGGCACATAATCTAATCCCCAAGCTTCAGGTCCATCCGTTCATGTTCATACCTTTATTTGTCACTGCCGAGTTCTTGTACGAGAACAGAGCGCTTGGAGACGGTGCATTCCTGACGCAACTACGAAACCTAGTTGGCATACTTGGTCAGTTGACGAATGTCAACGATCTCGAAAGGAGTTATCTGGATTTACTATCGCGATCCTGTATATCATCGTCGCGGGGAGTTTTGGAGCAAAGCGCGCAGCAGACATAGGGTCTCCGCTTAGATTCCAGAAGTACGCAGGTCATCATGTCATACCCCGTATCTTTGCCCTTGTAAATGTCCACTTATGTAAATGCTACTTGACCTGCCCCCAGACCGGCCCATTTACGTAGGTATTGGGCGTAGTGATGTACGTTGTCCCGTGAGCTATCGATTTAGTATGCTTCCAGTGAACTGTTCCGCCCCTTATCGCACATTTCAGCTGTCAGACGTGTGGCTATCCTGGTCGATATTGTCAAGGATTGTTGGGGTCTACTTGGCTGCTAGCGAGATCACCGAGCAATGCATGAAGGTATATACCGATCTGAGAAACAACTTACTTATTAATTAAAGAGGAACGGGTGCAACTCTGTCTTTTCTTAGACCCGCCGACTACTGAAACTAATTCTCCGCAGTGGATCCGAGATTATAATCCGATCCAGCAAACAATTGATCCGAGCCTTTTGATTTGGCTCTCTCTAGGAATTGGATTAGTTCCAGCCATGCATGGCACGGGAGTTCCGTTAGGAGGAATTTTCTGTTATAATAAAAAGCTCAAAGACCGGTCCTAAGTCCGCTATTTCCATACTAGCGAGTTATGTATCTCCGAATACCTGTAAGAGCCACTCAAACATTAGTGAGTATAGCAGCAGTGTCTTATAAGTAACTGCGTCCATCAAAGCCTTACTATGTTTAATTTACACAACGTGTACAACCGGAACAGGAAAAAGCAAGTGATATCAGCAAGAAAAAAGTAACAACTTTCTCTTTTGTCACATTTTCTTTTCTTCCATCGCAGCTAACCCAATATTAGGCCAATCAAAAATTGTAGCCATGCCAGCCACTGCCTGCGTTCAACTCAAGAGGATCGCCAGAGACTTCTTAGAGGCTCTCGAAGATCCTAACGACCCTACTAAGGCACGGGCTGTGGCTTCGGCGGATTTATCTGTCACGCATGAAAGCTATCCCCCTACGGAAGGGCTTGAGCAATTTCTTTCTGGTTGGGCAAAGGCGAAGCAATTCATGCCCAACTTCCGCATGGAAGTGGTCGATATGGTAGCCGAAGTTGATGCGAGCGGCTCTGGTGGCAAAGTTTGGGTCTTTTCCAAGGTTACAGGCGGAGGAGGAGGCACGGACCGGGATAGTATCGACATGATATCTATCAATAGCGAAGGCCAGGTTTGGAAGACGAAGGATGTTCAGCGGATAACATCTAAGCATTAAAAACACAATTTACAGGTGTTGCTAGCTTGGTTATGATGTACAGTCTTGAAAATATGGCAGACAATTCATACTATTATCAATTCCTGAGCACGCAGAAGCCCAAATTCCAGGCAACGGGTCCAAGCACCTGCGTTCGGTGGTGGTTGCTTTGTTTGATACACTTCAAGTTGTAAAATGAAGACGGCAATTCTAGGCCCCATAGAGAGGATAGACTGGGAGAATTTCCGGAGAAAACTCATTTCAGAATCCATTTATTAAAGCAATAAGGGAGATTACTTGCAGTCATAAAAGCGTACTAGGACACTCCGTTGATCTCACATCCTATTGTTGGTCAAGTTCACTACACGTTATATCCTGCAAGAGGAGTTTTGAATGAAAATGAGCCTTACTGTTTGTAGGCTATGATTTTTTCCCCCGATAAGTTAGAATTCACTGAAATCAAGTCATCAAATCAGTCAATAACATGCATCGGGCTCAGGGTCACGGATTTCCCTAGAGGATGTATTCTTCAATGCAATGTGAAAGGCCAGCATAAGGGCAACATCGAAAATAAACTTTTATTTGATCTGTGGCCAACGAAATTAGGTCCAACCTAGTCGAAGGTGAGTGACGTCCATGATTTCGGAATTCGGAGCCTCGACCACCCCTCCAGCGGCATGTCCGGCAACACCGACTTACAAAGGGGCGGGGAATCAATGGCCAGTCAATGCCAGAATGAACGTCTTCCTTAAACCACCCATTCAATCATGCAAGCATCTCCAGCTCGCAAGTTTTACCCTCGCGCGTGGGAAAACCGGCTTCCCGTTTCGCATCCGGATATCAGGGCCATTCGGGGCAAGTTCTTCAAAGCAGCCTTGATCAATTTTTGGCTGATTCTACTTTTATTTTTCGGTCTCTTTTGTTATTTGTTTGCCTCTCTGTACCATGAGGGACGTCGGACACACAACTTGAAAGTTCTTTGGGTCGACTTCGACGGTGGTGTTATTGGCGAAGCCGTGCGCAATGCGTACCAGAGACTGAAATCAGATGGCTTTCCCAAGTTGATCGAGAGATCAATCCGCGAATTTCCACTGGAAGAAGACGTCAAAAGAGCTGTTTGCAAGACTGACTACTGGGCTGCACTGTACACGTCTCCCGGGGCCTCCGGCCGGCTTAGCCTAGCCATCTCCGGAGGCGACGCATCGCGATACAATGCATCGGACGTGCTCTCCTTTATTTGGAACGAGGCCAAGTATCCCACCATAGTGGATAGCCTGATTTCTAGCAATCTTCATACACTCGCTGATGCTGCCCGAGTGGCTTATGTGGCGCTCAATGGCAGCTGGGCCCTATCGACTCTCCCTCCCAATAATGGCCCTGCTCTATCTGCCTTTGCCAATCCATGGACTCTATCATCCGTTGATATACAACCGACGGCACAAGGCACTCGAACTGTTTACAACACAATCGTCATTGTACTAGTTCTGATCCAGGATTTCTTCTTCCTTGCCACACTCAATGCACTCTACGGCGAGTTTAAAGTCTACACGAGAATATCTCCCGTACGAATCATTCTGGTCCGTGACATCATCTCCATCTTATTCACCATGCTGGGGTCGCTGCTCCTTACTTGTGCCATCTGGGCATTCAGGGATGGATGGAACGTGTCAGGCTCTCAGTTTGCTCTGACATGGCTGGTCCTATGGCTTTTTGCCCACGTCAACTTCCTGATGCTAGATATCTTCACGATATGGCTACCGGTGCAATTCGTCCCTATGGCGCTTATAACTTGGGTCGTAATTAACGTCACCTCAATTATACTACCCTTTGCACTTTCACCTTCATTCTATTACTGGGGATATGCCTTGCCTGCCCATAATGTTTATGAGGCGCTCATAGACATTTGGTCAAGCGGCTGCAACCCGCATCTGCATCGCGCTCTTCCAATACTATTCGCCTATGAAGTAAATGCCATCTTCTGGACGGCTCTAGGCGTCTACAAGCGCTGCCATGGTGCTGTCATTATGGAAGAGACAAACAAGGAGGCTATGCGGATGCGCATAGAGACGGCACTTCAGATCGAACACGACGGCGAGGAGCACCGTTTGGGAGAAGAGCGCAGTGAAAAGAGCGCCCAAGATGACGAAGCCGGAACGTCTTCTGCCGCAGACCGACGGATTGGCAATATGGACGAGGAGTCGCTTTCACGTAGGCGCGCAGGGGATGACCGGGCACAGATTGAGAGTGACCTTGAGAACGTCACTAGTCGCATTGAAAGGATGGAGACACGGGCAAGGAGAATGGCTGACACAGGGCCCAGGTTCTATCTCGTGGGCTCGAGAAGTGAATGATAGTAGCTATGCTACTCCGTTGTTAAAAGTGAAGTTTTTTATGACTAGGCTTCAAAGTGACGGAGGCCTGCAATGGTCTGACTTGAATGAGGAGACTACCGTAAATTATAGTATTGAACGACAAAGTGCAGCATAATCCAGGGCTTTGGGAGGTACATTAAAAAATGAAACGGCTATTCTTTTACGTTTTTGCATAGCTAAAAGTTCAAACAGCTTACGTGCAGGCACCTGCTCTTGGCCAAAGAAAGTTCTAGTCAAGCTTTATCCAAGTAACTGTAGCTTGGACTGCGCTGCCATACCTAGCGTTCAAGCGGTCTTGTAGAATTGTAGAAGAAGCACTGAGGGGGCAGCAATCAACGAGTTACGCAAGAGACGGGAGGGAGGACTGGACTCTTCTGAGGATCGGATCGCCGGACTATATGGACTTGAGTTAGCGACAAAGTGAGTCATTGAGGGTGACATGTTGGGCTTCTCATGTATATACGAACTACGATAGCTCCTAAGGTAGGAGGCCGTAAATTTACAGTGCTGCTTCTTATATTTTAGTTTAGTAGCCTTCTTTCGTCTCGGAATGAATTTACTAAGAATAGATATTGTTGTGGTGAACATCCTACAGCCTCAGATTCAACGAACAGTCGAGTTACTAAAAACCTACGAGCTTTTCTGCTTTCTCTTTCAAGGACTCTTCTTATTGGGTGCGAAACATACTTCAATGCATCCAAATACTTATTCCTTGTTCATCTGAGCTTAGATCCTGCCATAGACGGTGTTGTAGGAATTAGATTGCATGACATATCAAGCAGCCCGCGGATGAAACACTTGATTAAAAGGTTGCGAAATCATCAAAAGATCAAAGTAATATATCGTGATACAAAGAAAAACACTTTGAAACGACTTGGGATCCGATATCTGACCAATTTGCATTCTTTACTACGTTAAGTATGATGTAGCTATAAACCCGGCTTATCTATTGTTCTGGGTGTGTAAATAGGCACCAGTTGCACTAAGCTCATACCGAAACGGCAAGCAACCGCCCTTTAACACCAACCTAATAGATATACATCGAGGGTCCCGGATTCGATTGTCCCTTTCTCTTACCCAGCCTGCCACTCCTTTAGAAGTTGCTCGGAATCCTTGGCTAAGGGGTGTCCAACAACTAAGATGCGGCGTCTAAGCGAAATGCAACTTCGCATCAAGACCTGGGACTTGATGGTATAGCCGTAATTGACCCAGAGGTAGGCAAGCTCATGCATGCCAGCGAGCGTGTCTGGGTGCTCTTCTCCAAGTGACTCTCGCTTCAATACCAATAGCTGGGCAAGTACCTTCTGCTCCTCAATATATCTTTGCTGTCCAAGATAAACTCTGCCAATTGTTTCCAAGGCACTCTGTTTCCTTGAGTGCTTATCGTTCGGAGCGCGACTGCAGAGTTGTAGGATCTGCCGACACAGCTTCTCTGCTTGACCAAGATCATAAATCGAAGTTGAATAAGGGCCAACTCTGATAGGACATATATCAAATCGCTGTAGGCATCATAAAGCACAGCTTTGAGCTTTTCTGCCATCTCCTCAAGCATTGGGATCGGGATAATCATCTGGCCTTGCTTGGCATCTACCACTGCCAAGCAGGCTATTGTATCATTGGTCAGTTCATGGGTGGCTCCCAAAATTTTTGGACACATCTTGAATAATAGCCTCAGAAGGTCTTCTCCATCCTTTGGCCTTTTCTGTTTTAGGCATATACGGGCAAGTATATTCATGCTTCGGAGGGTGTCAAGATGGACCTCCCTAGTCTCAAAAACTTCTCGAGACATGGTTTCTGCTTCTTCTAAGTGACCTTGCCAAGCGAGGACGCTCGCCAGCTTGGATGCGTACCGAAGAGTACTCACGTTGTGCGGTCCCAGCACAGCCATACTCTTCTCTACGAGAGGACCCAGCAATATACTGGCGGCACTCCATTGGCGCTGTGATTCGTACATCGTGGCAAGCCCGCTCGTACCACGTAATGCTTCGGGATTGTCATCGCTGAGAACCTTTCTGATCTTCTCCAAAATTTCTAGGAATAGAACCTCTGACTCTTTGAAGCGACTGCAAGATCAAGGCCAGTGGACGACGTATCGTAATGTTCAGCCCCAATATCCTCTGATTATTCTCGTAAAGTTCACAATATAGCCTCTCGGCTTCCTTGAATCGTCCATGGTATACACAGGTAGTAGGAAGATTGCCCATGCTACTCATCGTGTCGATATATCCCTTACCAACCGCATTTCGACTTGTGTTCAAAATCTGCTCTTCTAAGCCCACAGCTTCCTGCCATCGATTCTGGAAGCACCTCGTGCTCTCGCCGTGGAAATTCAGCAGCATCCAAGGCTGTGGCTTGGCGCATAATATATGTGACTCGGGACGATTGGATTGGTTCATTGGCAGGCTGCATCTTATTTGACAAAGTCCAGTCCCCAGAATGAGAGGGTTCTATGACCTGCCCCACCACGTAAATTAGTGATCTAACAGGCTTGGTTGATCCCGGAATTATCTCTCCGTTGTTAATTTTTTTGCCGGCCGTTGCCTGCAGGGCTTGGTGGGTTGGTAGCTGGGGGATGGGCTGGGATAGAGCATGAAAGAACGATCCACGCTGCTAGCAGCATTCATATGGAAGTGTTATTAATATTCTCGGTAGGGTTGATCTCGTACAATAGCGACTAAGAATTATGGCGCGCGGCTTCACTATTTGATTTGATGTGATGCCAGGTAGAGCTCAACTATTTGATTTGCCGTGAAGCGAAGTAGGATTGACACTAATCAAGGTATTGACCCAGGTTTCGTGCCCATATAATTCCTACAAAAACAAGGACTTCCCCCCGGTTCTTGAAGGTAATTATACCTAGGCTTTATTATCTTGTTCTTGCAACACCTGATGTAGTAATATGATGAATTACATTCGGTTACAGACCATTTGAAAACGCGGAATGGTGAAGTGGTGGGGGCAGACTTGATCTATATATAGCCTTGTCTACCTACCTACATATCCATTCATCCCATTGGCTACCATGCGAAAGGCTTTTCAGTATGAGGCTACATTCTCGCGTGCTATTTTGGCTGCTAATTTAGGAAAAGTAGGCACTCGATTCGAGATTTTGTTTTGAGTTAAGTTGGAAATATAAAACCACGATGTCATCTCCCGAAAACTCTGTCTGCCTTTGTCGCCGATACAACAATTTAACTCAACAGCGGTTTGCTCCTAGGCCCTGGCATCTTTTTTTTTGTTTTCCTTGAGTCCCTTTTTTTCTTTTCTTCTTCTTCTTTCAAACACTCCTGGCGCCATATTCAACCCAACGCTTTTGATTGTTTAATCCGGCTTTTATCGTCATCTTGATCTTTAAACCAGCATTCAACATGGTCGGCGCTGCACAGTTGGGCCTCGCTGCCCTAGTTTGGCTCGGCCTGGCCAACCAAGGCCTGGCTTTGGGCATCGACCAAGCCACCGACGATCTCGACCTCGCCGCGAGAGACTTATTCGGAAGTCTCGAGAAAACCAAGGCTCAGATGGCCCTGGCTTCTAAGGGCAAGCGTGATTCGGAGGAGCTGGACGAGCGTGACCTCGAAGGTCGACTTTATCTTCCTGATTATCATAAATACGCCCCCAAGAAAGGACGAAGCCTTGAAGGACGTCTTTATCTTCCCGATTACCACAAATATGCTCCCAAGAAGGGGCGAAGCCTCGAAGGCCGTCTTTATCTCCCCGACTATCATAAATACGCCCCCAAGAAGCAAGGACGAAGCCTGAAAGCGCGGCGTAGTGGAAGACACTAGGTAGAACCAAGAGTTCTCTGTTTTAAAAACAGCGCCAGCTTGTGAGCTACTTTCAAAACACATGATTCCCATGTGGGAGTGCTTTGGTTGAGGGATGAGTAGAAAACATCAAGGGCGAGTGTTTATATCTTCGATGTAATAGAATTGTTTGTTTACAGGGGCAGTAATTTGGTAGTAGGATATTTCGTAGCAGGATGGTCTATAAGCCCTAGGGGCCCTGTCTTGTTTGAATAGATTGTTGATAAAGATTACCTGCCCAAGCGGGTGACAGAAGACATTGCACACCAAACGTTACTTTGATCTCTCCTTTGACTAAACCTGTCACCTTCAGAGCCAAATAAACAAGCAATAAATACATAACATACCCTTATTAAAATAATAATTTAGTATTTAGACCTCTAAGAATTGTTTAATAACTTCGAATTCCTTATTCTAATAGATTTTGGCTGGTAAATTGCGAGTTGAAAACGCCTGTGATTTGCGTGTGCAATGTCTTATGTCACCCGCTTGCTGCCCTCTGTGACGAATTAATTATAAACCATGTCTTGAATATCACAATAAGGCCTTGGCAAGATCGCTACATGAGCGTATCTGGAGCAGGCTCCTGGTCGCTCATTGCTACTCATTGGCTCTCCACACCGGGCCTACAGATCGCGACGGCCATCTCTTGTATGGAACGGAGAGATAGATCTACCTGACTGCAACGTCATTCATCAATAGGTTACGTGGAGAATGTATGCTCAGAAGGGGGACTAACTGGGATGTCAGACGAAATATCGACGATAGGAAACTAGCATTGCAGATCGTCCAATTAATCCGACAAAGCACCCAATCCGGCATGCGCAAAGAAGGACTTTCCCTTGTCGCCTTTGCCCGCAAATGTGTAATTTACGTAGATGATCGGGAGATCTGCAAATGCATACAGGTTTTGCCAAACAACGTTGACGTCAAATTTATGCCATGCTGGCGCATGTCTGGCTAAACCTCCCAACTGCTTCTCAATGGATTGAAGTATGTAAGGACAATGCGACCCCCTCACCATGGTCAAAATAAGACAAACAGAATAAGCCACATGCCTAGACTACTTTGTTCTTTCTTATGAACCTTGAAACACATATTCAAAATGAAGCGACAAGTTGTAGATACTTCGAAGACCGGCATTCAAATGGCGATAGCTAGTCATACGCGATGCCGAGTGACACGCCCTTTGTGCAGATCTCTCGCTACGCCCACCAGATACGGCTCGCAGCCTCAGCGTTGTTTCGCAGCAACCGTCCAGCGCCACCAAGAGAAGCCATCACCTAATGCTGTTGGCTTACCGCGGGAGACCGCTTTTGGTGGCAAGCGATTTGCGGATTTTGATCTTGCCGGAAAGACATTCATCGTGACGGGCGGTGCTCGTGGCCTTGGCCTTGCTCTTGCTGAGGCCTTGGTGGAGGCAGGAGGAAGAGGTGGGTGACGATTGTAAAATCCATTGAAGATCAAAGAGATCTTGGCAATTCCTCAAGCTAACCTCGCCTAGTCTACTGCCTGGATCGTGCAGAAAGGCCAGACGAAGAATGGGACGAGGCCTTACAGCGCGTGGTGCCGGAATGGGGAGGGTCATTAGAATACCGCCAAGTTGACGTGCAAGATACAGAAAACCTAGAAAAAGTCATCGACACAATCGCCACAGAGAACAACCGTCTCAATGGTGTGATTGCGGCAGCGGGCGTTAACCAGGTAACACCGGCAACCAAGTACGAGCCAGAAGACGCCAACGAGATGCTCAAGACAAATTACACGGCTGTACTGATGACGGCGACCATCTCGGCCCGCAAGATGATGCAGTACAAGTGCCACGGCAGCATTTGCCTAATTGCGAGCATGTCTGGGCTCATCGCCAACAAAGGCATGAAATCTCCAGTATACAACTCGTCCAAGGCGGCTGTGCTCCAGCTGACGCGCAGTTTGGCCATGGAGTGGAGCAAGGTAAAAAAGGATGGAAGTGGCGGCATCCGTGTCAATTCGCTCAGCCCGGGACACATCATGACGCCTATGGTGCAGAAAATTCTAGACGAAGACCCGGAGACTGAGGAGTTGTGGTGCAAAGAGAATATGATGGGGCGGTTGGCTCAAACAAGCGAGTTCAAAGGCGCGGCACTGTTTCTTCTGAGCAATGCGAGCAGCTTCATGACCGGAAGTAATCTGGTGGTGGATGGAGGACACACAGCATGGTGATGGAAGGGCTGAGGAACAATCCAACTCCCGGGAGGGTGATTGCTTCCCTGAAAAAACGAAGTTCTCTGGGGATTAAAGCTACCTACCTTGGGAATTTGGATGAAAAATATCTGACTTCTGCTGGTAAAATACAACTTTGAAGTAAAACTGAGCTATGCATTGCTCTTACCAATGGGCCACGGTATAAGGAGGAGAGATGCAGATCTGAGCATACTCTAGATTGTCTTCCAGAGGACTCGCCCCTTCTCCACCCAGGCTTGTGATGCAGTAACACAACGAGTGCTTCTACAGATTTCTCAGAGTTTGCGAACGTCTTTAGTGTAGTTACTGTCCTGATGAATGTCAAGTCGTTCATATTGCCAAATTAACCTCAAAGACGAAGGCATTCCTTTTAAGGATACTCGTTTATAACTACACGCCGTATATACCAATGTTGAAAGGAACTCAAAAGTCACCAGGGCTTGGGATATCTTGAAAAGGAAAATCCGAATCTATCGCATACAAGAGCCCTGACTTGGAAAGAGAGCGGCTGAGTATCTGTAGCTGGCTTATACGAGAATTCTATACTACTACAGACCTCTATAGGCTTCTATTTCTGTCTTGAACTATAGAAATCTGCATGTATCGCGTTCATCATTGAAGAAGTGAATTCCACACAGAGAGATAGTAATTTTTAGGCAGTTAGACAATACATGGGAATTATGATCTACTTGGTTTAAGCGCCTAACAACACGGAATTGGACTCTTGAAAGCGATAACAATCACGGTCGCAATACGTCAGGAATTGCAAATGTGTCCACATTAGAAATAGGCCATCTTTGCGTGAGTAATATGCGAGATTATTGAGAAGATCTACCGGAGCAATAGAGAAGGGATCGTCGAAGGACCGTAAGCTTATTGATGAGAGGCTTTACGCATGATATTAATAAGTACTCCTCAAAAAGGAACGAAACCATAAACTTGAAAAAGGCGTTTATTGGTACCCAATTAAATGTCTTATTGTTCATTCCTTTGTAGCCACGTTGGATAAATTGTTCCTCTGCTTATCCTACGCTTGTAATTTAAAAGGACTTGAGCAGCTGCGCCCCATCCTAACTAGTGCCGAGGCTTTCGTTTTAGTAACTTATATTCTAAAGTCCCTTCGATGCACACTTGTACGAGATATATTATTTGGATATATTCTCATTAAAATCAACCAACCGCTTCTTTTCTCTTTCTCTTATAATTAGACCTAACAGCCTTCTTATTCGTCTTCACATACCTTGGCTTCGAATACAGAAATTGGCTGTTTTCATATATCCTTCACTTCCTCCTATGACATTGCCCGGTTACCCACTTTGCTATGACTTTTCCAACAGACGACTCTCTTAGGTTCGACCCCTTCCAAATGGTTTATGGCTTTTGTCTAGTCGCTAAAGGCAGCTGTGGCCTCTTCGGGGTTACCATCGCTTTCATAGCTCAATTCCAGCATATGAGAAAAGCGCGAAACACGGAAGGTATATCAATATATTTCCTCTTTTTCAATCTGTTAGGGGCCACGGGGCTGTTTTTCGGTCTCCTCGATGCCTATACGGCGAGTCACATGCGGATCTGTTCCACAATCAAGCATCCGCCCATCTCGTCAGATTTGGGATCCGTACTTCTTTCTGCGTTCATTTTTGCCTTTTGGTTGATATGGTAAGTGAGAATAACGCACTTTCCATTCAGTAGTATTCAGCTTAGACAAAATCTGATCACACCGAGAGAGCAGGTTCGGATTCCATCTCCACTACGCATTAGATTCAATGCAGAACGAAATGAAGATCATATTGTGCGTTGCTATTTTTCTGTGCATCTGGGGCAACGTGTTCGGGGCGGTGCACTCCTGTAACCACTCATTAATGGGGTACAAATTGAGGTAGCCTGATTAGCAGTACAACAAATCTCCGAACGAAGTGTGGGCAGCAGTAATGATGTTCTCCCACCTGGCTTGAACGCGTTTGGGGCAGTGTTGATAACTTGAGGGCCCTGTCATGTAGACTGCATAGCATTACTGTTACGCTGCCTTAGGTTTCCCTATTTGGGCATTAAGAGATGTGTCAAGATCGATCCGCGATTGCATTTTGAACATAGGGTATGCCATGTTTTGGATGAACTTCCTCTCTTTTCAAATCGTATTAGAACCTAAGGATGCGTACGTGAAATTTCTTCACGATAGGCTATCTTTCGAAGTTTTGTGTTAGCATGTATAAGTTGCGCCTAGACTCGGAGAGATGTAAACCTAGCAATAGATACTAAAATGGTCATTTCATGTCTTGACAAGCTTTGCACGCGTGTAGGCCTACTGGTAACGGCATTATCAAGGTTATTTAAAGCACAGTAATCTATATCAAACCAGCTCGGTAGACGACACTCGATGCTCTGGCCAGACGTTTAACACTCTACAAACGCGGTTGCCCAAGGCGTTCTCACACTGCTACTCTCACAGCAGTCTCATTTAACCTTTGCGCAAAGAGAGCTGTATCAGACACAGCCTCATCATTTACACCGGCTCCGTTGCAATATCAAATACCGCGATAGCCAAGGGCATCCTTGTCTGCCCGATTGAATCCTGCGCCAGCGGAAGCGAATATTTTCACTGATGGCGGAGGAGATCAATCAGTTCGTCATGCCACTATCCCATTTCGCCTACCGTCTGAAAGTAAGGACGCAGAATGGCCACAAAGTCACCATACCTAGAAACCAAGTCAGATGTTCCATCCATGAAAGGCATTCGCGGAATGAATGTCACATTGTGTATCATACTTTTTGTTTCAGAGTGCCTTAATGAAGCTCTCACGGTCGGGCTCTTCACTGGCGATGACTTCGAATCGCTTCGAGAACTCATTTACATACAGGTCGTACTTATATTTGATGACCTCGCCAATGCGAAGAACAACTGGGTTTATCGACCCCATTTAGGAAAGGTGATATTAGAGAGCGAACTTTCTCAAAGAAAGTCACTTACCGTTTGAGTACATGTCCGTCGTGTCCTGCTCCGAGATCAGCAACACAATCCACAACATGAGGTTATCATAAAATTCTCACCATGTATACTCTATTCTTTATAATTCGTCTATTGGTGTACTGTTCTCGACCCAAACTGAGGGTTCGACAACTTAATAGTTGTATTAATTACTTCGAAGAGTTAAGTATAAGAAATTACTTTAGTTGAAATAACCATAAACTGGAAAGTCGGAGCTTCTCTTCCCCATTTTAGTCTCCACAACAGCTACTCACTCAGAAAGTTGCGGCATCCAGTCTCGGAGTTCTCTCCGCCCCTTGCCCTTGCCCTCCGGCCAGGTTCCCGTGGGAGTCTCCATGCAGGCATTGGCTGGCTACAACCGTTTTCTATAAATTGAACAGCTCGCTCGGTACCATTGCAGTTGTCCAAAGAGGATGCTCACCTCATCTAACAGCCTGTCCAACAACATCTATCGAATGGTTACCGACGTTTCGAACCCAAAATCTCAAAGCCGTCAACTAAATATGTTAACTGTATAACCACCACTTAATAAAATCTCTCCAATATCCAATCAGGCTACCGATCTCCTTACCTAAAGTACTCTGTCGTATCACTACACCTAACAATATCTAGCAACAAATCCTACACGGTCTAGAGGCCGTTGCCGAGAAGAAACTATTTCTCACCAAGAGTGAGCTTGATTCAAAGGCTAAAGCTATTGCAAAGCAGTTGGTCATCCTTCTTTGATGTTGCCCTCGCACCGCGCTCGGGGTTCATGGCAGACGGTACCCTGACCCAAACTGTCAAGAATCTCGGTTCAAGCACGTGTCATAAATAGATTTTATCAACCTTGTCTGCTTATAGTAGAACGTAGAATTTGACGGCGGATTCGCTAGACATCGATCGCCGTTACCCCCCCATTACTCCCATATCCATCGAACCACTCATCAAGAATAAGGCCTCCGTGTTCACCATCGACATATCCATGGAGCCTAAATCGGCAAGGCTAAAGTCCAGCTCGAGATTGGCCTGCCGATGGAGGTTGATGTCAGATGTCGCAGGATCAATGGCTGTGTTGGAAGGCTGTTGTCGAAGCGCACGAAGCATCCTCTCAAGCCCATTTCCCATGTGATGTACTAGATGCCACGAGTTGACGGGAGTGGCTTGATACGCCGCAACAAGCCGGGAGAGAATATCTATAAACTCATTTCTATCTACCAATTGATTTCCATAGTTGGTTATGAGCTTCATAAGAAACATGCAGGCAAATCCGATCATGGATTGAACATAGCACGGCAACCCGACGAGGGCTTCACGCACTACGGGCTCGGTGATTATAATGTTTAAGATGGCCATGGCGGCAGCAGTGGCGCCATGAGCTGCTTCCAGAAACTCGGTTGGGATGGGAGAAGAGCCCAGTCCATGGAAAACATGTGATAGCAAATAGAGCTTAGCGAACTGGTAGTGGAAAACGCACCCCTTTCTGGGGAACGTACCGAAACCCTCTTGAACTTCTGCGATGTTAGGTTAGAAGTAGTTGATCATTGGGCAAGACGGACTGCACGTACCTGGAAAGGTTGTTGACCAGCGACCGACCCACTGATCGAGCTGGCGAGAGAAGGAGCTTATGTGCGAGGCGAAGACGGTGGGGATTGGTTTCCCAGAATCGGTGCCAAAGAGAGCACGAATCTTGTGAATGATGGTCAAGAGGGTGACTTGACTTACCAGCCGCTGGTCACCGACTGTCACCGTAGATGATTCGACAAGCCATTCCGCGTGCTCAATAGCCCGGTCCTCTCTCATCTCACCCTGCCGACAGTACAAGGTCGAAAGATGCTGATCACAGATGTATATCAAGAACCAGATCCGAATGAAATCGGCGGCGTCTTCGTCGTTTTTCTCGCGCAGTGTTTCCAGGTGACTGCCAATGTTCATCGCCGCTGCACGCCGAGATGCGATACCAGTTAATGTCCAAGAAGAATCGTGGAGCCAGTACGAGGCAACGCATAAGGCGCGAAGGTGATCACGATCGACGTGTCGATCAAACAGGGACTCGGTCATTAGACGTTTGAATTCGCGGTCACAGATGGGGTAGAGACTGTTGGCTTTAGGATCATGCATGGCAGCAACAGTGAGGATGGCCGCTGTGAGAACCGCACTATTGCACCGGAGAGCCTCCAGCGTTTTGTATCTTGCGCCAACTCCGTAAGCAAAATGGTCGACGCGATCCGTGTAGAGGTGGAAGAGCATCTCTGCATCTTCTAGGGAGATCATCCCTTGAGAAATAAAGTCGGCGTATGGCCCTGCATGTGTCGACTTTCCGGGCGATGTATCTATATCGGCTTCGGGGGATCGCAGAGCACTTAATTTAGTGAGATGGTATACAGAATGCATTGGGATTCGCGGGAGATTTTCTTCATCTTGGGGCGAGAGATCTGGTGAGTTGTCGCATGATGGGCCAATATCTGGGAGCTGATTTAAGTGACCCTGCTCCCCAGAGACTGGAGAAGGCGCAATAAATCTGGAGCTCTCAAGCTGTGGCATACTTGGAAGATTCAGTGTCTTCAGAATGTGCTGGACGCTTGTCGAGACAATCTCTAGGTCGTGTATTAATGCGTTCGTCTGCCTACGAATCGATCCCTCAAGTCAGCCGAGGGGAATATAAAGAGCAAAGAGACATGGGAATTTTTAGAGAGTCAGCCTACGGTACGCGCTCATTGATGAGAGTCTGCAGACTTTTATTGAGGACACAAGACAGATCCTTTTCGGCACATCGCTTGCATGGAGGGCCGCTCTTGTCCATGAAGCATCGAACCTGGCAGCAAATTTGTCCCGTCAGCCAGTTGATCCCTCACTGACGCGTCCAGAAAGCAGACCACCTTTTGTTTTCGACAGGCAGCGCATGCCTTAACCTTACGCGATATGTTCGGGAGGGGCGGAACCTGGGCTGGATCGGCGTGATTTATAGCCATGGCTTGCTCGCTCGTAGGTGGATTGGGTAGGGGAGAGAAGCTCGCAGGGTTGGGTTTCCATTGAAGGGTGCGTTCAGGATCTCCCTGATTTGCTTCGTTCCACGACCTTTTTCTCATCGCCAAATATGCGCATTCTCATTGTCGGGTTGGGGTTCGCAGTGGCGATGTTTTGCCATGAGCAGAGCAACAGCGCGCGAGGATGTCTCGTCGGTCAATATTTCATGCGATTGACCCACCCCTAACGCTTATTTAATTAACCGACTTGAAAGGGTGGGTTAGGTCGTTGGTTGATTGGAGCCATGTCGGTGAATCTATGTTTGTCTTCGCTCGTCGGGAACCGTCATATCTACCCTACCCTATATATACCATCTTGCAAATCAGCCAAGATATATTTTGGAAATGATCCCAATACACTACCTGTATGAAATAGACACTGGAGGAAGCATAGGAGGTTTCTTTTAGATCGTTGAGCCTGTTTCCCAAGTCTCTTGCTGAAAATCATCGTATCAACCATGCACTCACTCCTAGCAGTAGGATGATGGAGAGAAGTCCGCACCAGGGAATAACGGAGTTGACTCCGATGTCATAGAACCGGAGATTGCTCTTCCATGTGCTTGACAAAGTTCTGTTTGCGGCAGAAGGATTATTACCCGGAGATGCCCCTCTATTCGGACACTGAACTCCAGAGAATATTAAAATAAAAACTTGGCGGCTGTCCAAATCTAAGAAATAGCTTGACTTAGCATTGGCCCCTTTTTCCAAGTACAACCGCAATTCTAAGACTATGGCATCGCAAAAAATCACGACCTCCAAGGCTAAGCCTCTACCGCCAGGGGTATACACCCCTGTGATCACAATCTACGATAACACTCCTACGCAGCAAGTTGACCTCGACGCCATGTACAAGCACTGCCAGTACCTCGTCAATGCTGGTTGCCATGGCCTCGTCTATCTTGGGACCAATGGAGAGTTGGCCATGCTGAACCATCAGGAACGGATTGACATTGTGAAGATGGCACGCAAGGCAGTGACCGACCTGGGTATTCCAGATTACCCGATTCTGGCTGGTATTTCAGCCCAGAGTGTAGCCGAGACCATCCAGCTTGCCAAAGAAGCCGGAGAAGCCGGTGCGGCTTGGGGTTTGTTGCTTCCTCCTAGCTATTGGACGAAAGCTATCAACCCCAAGGTTCTCGAAGGGTACTATCGTGATGTCGCCGATGCCAGCCCCATTCCTATTGTTATCTACAATGTGAGTGCTGGCATGAAAATTGGGCGATAGGCTCAAGGCTTCTATGTGATCTGACATATTATTACAGTATCCCGGTGTGGTATCAGGTGTTGACCTTGACTCTGACATCATCTGCGCCTTGGCTTCTCACCCAAATATTGTTGCCGCTAAGCTCACCTGCGGTCAAGTTGGCAAGGCTATCCGCGTGACATCTCGATATGGTCCCCAGCACATGGCGGTCTATGCTGGTAGCGCTGATTACCTCGTTCCTTCACTTGTTGGAGGTGCTAGTGGCTGTGTCGTAGGCATGGGCAACGTGTTCCCTAAAACAGTGTCTAGACTGTATGATTATTACAAAGCCGGTCGCCTTAATGAGGCCGCGGCGTTACAAGAGAAGATATCAGTAGCAGAGGCGGCTTGCAAGAAGAGCCTGAATAGCACTAAATGGGGTGCTTGGTATTATATCCTACGCAACCTTGGTATTGAGAGCGACGCCGGGTTCGCAATGAGAAAACCTTACCTTTCCCCAGGAGAAGAGCAAAAGAAGAGTGCACTCGCAGCATTTAGTATACTGGAGGACATTGAAAAATCCATGCAAGGCAGAGAAGGCATTTTTAAAGCTTAGATGAAAGATCGAAGACTCCATACCGAATTACAAAGGCTTTCCATAATACAGCATCGTCTGTCGATTGATAATTGGTGAGACACCTCAATTCATGATAGATTGGTTGAATAGAGGACAGCTGCTGGACGAGTATCAGACCATGACTTACCATAGGTAAGCATGGTTGCGTACCTGAGTGGGTTGTCTATACCATCCGCTTCATCTCTCTGACTCAATAATGTTACACCAAAGGTGAG